AGAACATGTCCTTACTGATGAAGATTTTAAATTTTTTTTAAATGTTTTGTTGGAAAAAAATAGAAATCCTTTAACACAATGTTAAAAAAAAAACTTTTTTGAGGACTTGAAAAGTTCAAAGACATAAACAAAAAAAATCATAGTATATTTATCAAACTGTTCAGTGGTGACAAAAAAACACATCGACAAATACATTCATGCAGCAATAAAATTAACTAAAGACATCTACACATCCTGTTTTCTCACTAAATGAATGTTTTAACTTTAGACATTTTTGCTGAAAAACATTTGAACCATCACTGCCAGAACTTCTGTTTCAGTCTTTGGGCAAAAACATTTAGGAAGAACTCATGAAAGTACATTTTATTTGTGTTTGACAGAGAGAGCGTGGARACATAGGTGGCTCTCCGTGGTTGTGCTGGTCAGGATGGATTAAGCCTCAGCTGAGCCGTGTATGGACATTCCTTTTGTTTGCTCGTTGTGCACCGTCTGTCGGAAACTGATGGTCGCTTCATGACAAATGTGCCCATCCCAAACAGCGTGTCTGTATAATAAATATACCTATTTATGGTAAGGAAAGCAAAAATCTGTGCAAGGAAGAAAGAGATGAGACCCTCATGGAATGTAGCTACTCATAAAGAATAAAATATCAACACGGGAAAAAGTAAGTCTCACAACCATGTCAGCGAGGAYAGATTTCTATGGCCTGCACACCCCATCCAAAGCTGTAAAAATCAGCTTTCATTTCATTTGTTGCATACCAAAYGTTTTCTCAYTGGCRAATGTACAGAGTTTTGTGTGAWTGGGCAGAAGTAAATATAAAAAAAKCTTACAAAACAGAAAAAAAGTTATAATTTGCCAAAATATCTGTACGATAAGATCGCTCCATCAAGCAAAGTTGTGTGGGTAGTTTCCTCCACAGACCATAAACAGGCACAGTAGGTTGCCTTCAGACCCAGGCGTCCTTTGCAAAACTGGTCTGTGATCTCATCTCAATGGCATTAGTCTGGTTAAATAAAGATCAATAAAYGTTGGTTCAAAATGTGGCTTCTCAGTGACAATGGTAGTTGACAATAATAACAAAAAGTGACATAAAATCATGTCTTTGGCAAACTGCATCCCATTAATGGGACTCGACTGTGCATAAAAATCGAAATATTGATATACAGTATGTGACCCATCACATCGAAATGAAGATTAGTGGAATGTGGAGAAGTAGGGTTTTGATTTAAACGTGTGCAAAAATAGCATTTTGTCAAAATATACTGAATTAATGCCTTATCAACGTATTATTTGAACGAACTGTCTGAAATATAAAAAAATTTCATGAAGCATTTTTTGCAGTAGTAACAACAAACCTGATTTTGAGGAAAAATGCCTTAAAATTTTGAATTTTTCCCTGTGAGTTGGCAATGTTTTTGTTTCTTTCCAACTGGGAAATCGTAATACTCAAATACTATTTGAGGTTTCCTCTTTACACTAACATCAAAAATGATTCAATAAATTTATATAAAATCAGGATCCAGATCAAACAATAATGTATTATGGTCACCAACAAGACAAATAAGCTTATGATATTAGAATGATCCAGGTATCAAAATGTAGC